TGCCCTTAGGCATTTGTAGTTTATCCACAGCATCGGTTCTGGGGAGAAAAAAAGAGAGAGAGAGAGCTGGGGGGGGTGATGGTGAAGAAGGTGTGAGGATGGTGTCTTTAGAGTCTTGTGGTCCTTATCTTTGGTGTCCATTAGAAAGAATATTGGAGTGCTTTCTGTTTCTGGTTTTAGAATAGTTTTGCAGGAAATTGAGCAAGACTGGGAGCAGAAACTCTACCCCATCCTAATCTGTCTATTGGATCTCCCGAGATCTTCCCAGAGAGGAAACACTTTACAAAGAATTCTAAAACTATACTTGCTTAAGAGATACCAATCTGAGGTTCACAATTTATCCCCCATTTGAAATAAAAAATGAAATTTACAAGAGGTACATTCCATTATCAGAGTTTCAAGAGTGCTGGAAAGTTAGGTGTTGGTATCTGAAAAGACACGAACTGTCTTTTTCTCCCCCATCAAACAGCTGTGGCATGCTTTAGTTTGGATTTTCTTTCCCTTTTTAAATGTTAATGGCTTATTTATTTTTATTCTACATACGTGGAGTTTTGCCTGTAACTATGTCTGTGTGAGAGTGTGGGTTCACTGAAACGGAGGTGACAAACTATTGTGAGCTGCAGTGTGGGTGCTGGGAACTGAACCTGGGTCTTCTGGAAGAGAGCAGCTAGTACTCTTTAACCGCTGAGCCATCTCTCCAGCCGGCCTCTCCCCCGCCCCCTCCCCGTTGGGTTTTCTTAAAATGTTGTTGTTTGATTTTTTTTTTTTTCAGGTTAAACTCTTGGATCAGAATGCTGACCCAGTGAACTAGTATTTATATATTCTGCGGTTCCGAATTCATCGCATGTTCTTCTCTTCCTCTCGTCAAGGGTTGTGAGGGTAGTTTCGGGGAGGGGGGCTATGGTGGTGTCAGCAGGCGGGCCGCAACAAAAATCGTTCCTCCCAGAGACTCACCGCTGGATGGCGAGTCGCCGCTGGGATGGGGCAGGGATCTGGGAAGCGGGGAAGCCAGGCTGCTATCTAGGCGTTGCAGCAGCTGTCTAGGGATGAAGCCTTGGGCAGGAGTTGGAGAGAGGGGAGTGGTACGGAGATCCCGGTAGGAAGCCAAAGGCTCCTGGCCGGCGTTTGCCTTGGTTCTGAATGAGAGACCATAAACTGCTCCAAAATTCAAGAGCCCATACTTTTCACTGAGACCCCAGACAACCCGTTTGGAGCCACCAGGCTGCAGGAGGCCCCCATGTTTTGAGCTGTGGAATTGCCAGGTGGCCGAGTTGTCTCCTCCAGGCTCTGCACCTCTGCCACAAGCCTCCTCGGGTTAGTATCCTACACAGGGTACAGGACTGCACAGCTCAAGCGCGTGAACTTTAGTCCTGGACAACCCCTTTAAAAAAACATCACGGAGGAACACAGTTAACATGGCATCTTTCTGGCCAGTTGTTTTTTACTCCCTTCCTGATCACAGAGTCCCGGTTTTTAAGCAAGTAAGTTATATATCCAACAGAGTACTCCATTCATGCTACACCAAGACTGAGACACGCAAGACGCACAGGTCTGAGACTGGGAGAAAATATTTAGCGCTTGCCTACAGATTCTGTCACCCATCATCTGCTCTTAATGCACTCTGTATCTTTCAGCGTGTCCGGCTCTTATGATTGCAAATGGCCCTGTTTTCAAATGGAAATAAGACTTGCAAACTGATTATGTGTATTGAATCAGAATCACTCACTAGATCCTCTTGTTTAAAATGTATTGAAAAAAAGATGATGGTTGCAGGCCTCTGTAACCAGCGCCCTCTCTTCTCAGGAAGATCTATCTGTTTTGCAACTTCTTGCCATCTGAACACGTTTCAGCCAGATAATTACATTTCCATTGTGTTATGGCACAAAGCTCACACACCATACACACAGCACCTCCCAGCCATCCCGAGACCAGCCCCGCCGTCATTAACCCTTAAACCACGCCTGCCCTACCCAGCACTGATCCACTTCACCAGGCCACTTTGATCCACTCAGTATATCTAGCACCTCTCCGACGTCAGAGCTATGGACATCAGCCCCACGCTTTCACCGGGCACAGGTGTTCTCACCTCTCTGCTTCCATTCCCTCCAGTCCCCTCTTCTCTTTTCCTGTTTTGCCAGGAAGCAGAGAAGCACATACCAATAAGCTCCCAACTTTCAGACTCATACAACCGATAGACTCTGAGTGGCAAGCTACGCCAACATTTTTAAAAACAATTAATTTTATGTTGCTGTGGCACTGTTCTTGTCAGAAAGCATTTCTACAGGAAGGTTAATTCTAAGGTACTTGGATAGCATCTCGATCTAGGATGTCTTTCTCTTTATCCCCAGCTAGTGCCGCAGGGTAGACTATGGAGGGATGACCTTCCTGTTATCCTCAAGCATTTCCAATGGATTTTTTTTTTTCATTTGGTTTCAGTATGAAGCAGACAGACTCTGTGGTTGTCCGGGAAGAGCCAAGCTTTAACTGTTCTGTCAAATGTGGGGATCAGCTAATGCAGCACTTTTGGAATTTTCTGCACCCATCCTAGCCTCGGAGCAGCCAGGGAGCAGCAACCAATGGCCAAGTAACGCTGCTCGCTGGTGGAGCTAACTAACTACAGCTTCTGGCTGCCTGGCTAGAGGTGGGGATGTATGCATGCTTTCCACTTGGGGCTGCTTATAGGGGGACAAAATAAGCTGCCAGGCTTCAGCCCTCCCACCTCCTGTATTCTCCACACAGGCCTGCAGACCCGGAGGCACCAGGAGTGGCCAGGTCTGGAGAGACAATTAATCCTCTGAAGTAGCCTGCCTCTGCAAGCCTGCTTAGAAACCTGGTGGGGGGGGGGCATCTTTGGGGCTCTAACTTTCTGGGTTAGGCAGGATAGTCAGATCAGTAAATATTGGCCGGGGTTCCCCGAGTTAGGGCGTAATAAGGAGCCAGCTCAGAGGATATTCTCAGGTTTCCATCTTGGTGTGCACAGTATGCAGTGTCTGTACTGAGGAGCTCAGTAAATCAGTAGCGTGCAAACCAAACAGACCTGTTTCTCTAGCACTTTGGAAACATCAAGCTACATCTCTGGAAGGTAGAAATTGAAGGAAGGTGGTATTACCAGGTGATTTCCCACGAAATCATTTCCGAACACAGAAAGTAACAGGGGAAGGACACCCAAGGATTGCTTCTCATTATGTGTGGGATAATTTCTCATACCTCAGAAATAAATTTTAACAGCAATCACCCAAAGTCTTCAAAATGTAATACTGAACAGTCCACCAACAGCCTCTGCTCCTGATAACTGAGTGCTAACCATTAAAGACAGGCTATCCCACAAGGAGAGAGACAAGGATAGGGCAGCTTCTCTTGGTTTATTCTGCCAACAACAGGACAGACGGGCTCTCTCATTTCCACTACTATGGATAGATGCACATAGAAAGGGGGCCTGATAGCAGAAACATTTCCTTTCTATCTTGTTTTGCTTTTTTAAGCTGGATGGCAGCATCCTTACCAACTCATTTCTGCGTGGATGTTGACAGTCCAGCAAGAGACCCCCACAGTATGTCTCTCACACAGATATGTCTCAGGCACCTTGATAGCAAATGATGATAATGTCTCTAAGCAATAAGCAGCCTTCTAGGTTTTCACGTGACAAGAAATGAATATCCCAACTTAAACTGGGCAAAAATAAGGACATTTTTGTTTATCTTTAAGAATAACTCAATTTCATTTGATATCATAATTGGGGTAATGGATACATTCAACTTTAATTGAACTAATACGTTCTGTAACTACACTTGAATTTCAGTTTTATACTTGAATTTCTCTTTTAGAAAATCTTTTGAATAGTTACACAAAAATCAATACATTTATTCCTCTATCTACCTACGTACACAGTGGGCAGAAACAAATGTGGCTATTTTATTGGAGGTAAGAGCTTGTTTACTAAGTCATAATACTGAGTGTTTGTATTTCTGTTTTTATTTATCCCTCAGGCACGGTACAACCCACAAAAAAACAAAAACAAAAAACATTAAATAGGAAAATGTACTGAAATCTTACCCAAAATTTTGAAAGAAGTCCTAACAAGAAAAGGAGTAAATGTCTAGGAAGCAGAAATAAAATGGGAACTTAGTCAAAAGAGAGGGGCAGAAGACCAGCGGCGCACCTAGACATCCTCCAAGTTGGCGTTAGAGCCTCATAAAAAAGAAATACAGCCCCCACTTCACCCGTGGTTTCAGAGGAGGCAAAGGCTGTGCCGCCCCCCTGAAACAGCTCTTCCTTCATTTCTTTAAAACGTCATCAGAGAAAGTTCGGAAATGCAAATGCGTGGGTGGGGGTTCGCGCAACCTTTGACTCTCCCCTCCAAAAAAATATAGACTTTCCTTCCATCCACACCAACTCCTTCAGACACCGGCAGGGTGACCGCAGAGAGCCCACACCTTCCAAAAGCCATTCGCTTGAATGGAGACTAGAAAAGTTTTTGTGGGGGTAGGTTCCCAAACTGAGTGCCACCAAGGTGAGCTGAAGCCCCGGGAACGCGACCACACAGTGACGCACACACCAGCCAGTAGGGCACCAAGGAGCGGATGGAGCCACGAAAACACCGTGCCCATCCCTTCCAACACCCTTAGGCCACTTCTTTCCGTTTGAAACAAGCTAATAAACAGCCAAAGAATCGCGTTATCTCAGATTCACATTTTCCAGTGGGCTTCCTGTTCCCCACTAATAAAATCGTGTGTTCACCCGGTTTCACACTGATAACTGGGGATGGATGGGGAGGAGGTGGAGACGCCATGCTTGCAGGGACTGAAGATCGGATCAGGATTCAAGGCAGCATCCCCCAACTCCCATGTTTATAGAAAATGAATGTCTGCCTGACTTACTTTAGCCCGGGAAAGGGGTCAAGCCTATATCAGCATGGTTCACACAGATTCTGGGTCCCCCCCCCCATCGTAAATTGACCGGCTTTTAAGATAAAGACATAATAGAGAAAGCGTTGACCTTACCTGGTCCCTAATGAGTTGGAAGTCAGAAAACCTCTCTCTCATTTCCTCTTATCTGGGATCGCCTGAGAAGAGACTCACGCCTTGAGACAGCTCCTCACTGCTCACCGCCGCCTGGACCCCGGGCAGCGCGAAGACTGTGCGTTCAAAACCACAGAGCACGAAGCCAGATCCAAGCACCACCAATGGAGCTCCTAGGTGCAGACTCGGAGCATCTAAAATCTCTTGGGAGACTCCCATGCAAGTCTTTGCCCACGAAAGGTCAAGCCCTAAGCAGTGGCACCCAGCTCTGTCTCCTCCATGCCTTGATCGGGCCACAGACGTGGACGCGGCTCTCAGGCTTGCTAACTGCTCCCGGACCTGACTTACCTTGCTCTCCTGGGCCCCAAAGCCACCTCCACCGGGCTGGCCCCTATCTCCAGTGTATGCCCTCAGACTGTGACATTTCCTCCCTCTCCTGCCTCTTGGCCTTGAGGAGCTCAGCTGCATTCACACGGACGGCCGCACCAGCCCAGGGTCCCTTCCTCCTCCTCTCAGGGCATCTCTGCCTTGTTGTTTTCGCCCCTTCTTTGAGCCCAGCCAGTCCACCGCCCTCCAGCTGAGAGAACTGCTTCCCCTTCTCCTCGGCCCCACGGCTCGGGGTTCCCAGGCTGGGGCGGGGGTGGGGAGCCGCTTTGGGATGCTAAACATCAAACAAGGCAAGCCTAGGTTTCAGGCCCCGAAGCCACTAGAACGGCTCTCCAGGGCTCTCGAGAAAGTCCTCTTGTTTACACGGCGGGGTTGGGGTGGGGTGGGGGAGAGGAGCAGAGCGGAGGATGCTGTCTGCAAGATTCCCCCCCCCCCCCACTGCCTGAACCGTTGCACCCTGGGGTTGGGTGGGGTACTTGTCGGGGGCAGTTTCTAGGGCGTTTGTTCTACGGTCTCACTGGGGGAAGTTTTTAACATCTCAGTGCCAGGAGCATCTCCAGAATACTTATTTCTTCTCCTGGGAGCCCAGAGTTATCAAAAGCCTAAAACCAGAGACAGCCCCCTTCCAGATGCTGGCCCGGTTTGTGGCTTGTGTGGGTGGCACGTGTCCTCATGCCCTGGGAAGCGCTCACCTTAAGCCCAGCACCTAGTTTCCTAGAGACATGCCTCAGTGTGCATCCCAAGATTGCTTCTGCAGCTGCCACAGGTCCACCAGGCAGGAGCTGGACGAATCAGAGTGATGGATGACAAGGATGGGCCAAAGCCCTGGTTGTTGGGTCATCCCCAGACCCTTCTGAATTCACTTATTCGGGGGCAAGTGAACAGACTTCAAACTAAGCCGGCTGGAGAAGAACGTATTTGCTAGAAACTTCAACTAGCCCAACGAAGACAAGACAGAGTGCTACAACACGCTCACACTGTTACTCTGCTAGAAAGCAGGTAGCCAGGGCGGCTGGTTGTCTGCAGCCAGCTAGGCCCTGCCTGGGCTTGTGCTGGCCAGTGGGACTGGTTGAGCTAAACTCACCCTTTACTTAGAAGCTGAACAGCAGCTGCCAGCACCTGCCTCCCCTGAACAGCCACAGCCTGAAGTCCTTGTCCCAACAGCAATGAATAAACTTTTCTGGTTTTGTTTTTCCAAAAGATGAGGTCTGCTGAGACTACCCCCCACGCATTCTCAGCAGACCATCCATCCTTTCAGAATATCCTTTCAGAATCCGTCCTTTCAGAACCTTCAAGACGTGAGAAGCCATATCCTAGCATCCAGCACTGGTTTTCCGAGGAAGAGAGCTATTCCCAGCTCCCATTCCTAAGGTATGGTAGGGTAAAAATCCTCTGGATTAAAAAAAAAAAAAAAAAAAAAAAAAGACTGCTGGATTCTAGTCCATACTTTGAAACAAACAAACAAGGTCTAGGTGAGAAATGCAGTGGAGAAACCAAGGGAAGTTGGAAACAGAATATTACAGAAGAGGAAGGAGAGAGGGAAGGAGGGAGGCTGGAAAGGAAAAAAAAAGTAGTTGAACATCTGAGTGAAAAAATGAACACGTGCCAAAAGTTACTCAATCACCAAAATAGACCCCTATAGACACCTGGTGCCTCCAGGGCCCAAAGGGTTGTCCATCTGCAACCCACAGGCTGCCTTGTCTGCACAAATTGCCAGGGGTGACCAGAAAAAGCAACAGTCCATCCAAAGAGGTCTAGTTCTTCTCTCTGTCCTTACCTACTCTTTCGCCACTACTACACACAACAACTGGAATGTTTTCCCCAACGCACATATCTGATAATGAAGTTGGAAAGAAAAAAAACAGAGACTGAGGGGAAGTTTAAAATTATTTTGGTTTTGTTTTGAGGGGGATGAAGAGAATTGGGGGGAGGAGAAGGATTCATTGCTGCAAAGGTTTAGGTCCTCAGATACAGAACGTACGGGGTTAAAAAGTGAAACCTCAGCTCCCAACGTCTTACTAGAGGCATCCCTAGGCTGGCCACCAAGTCCACACCGGGAAAGACAGGGCAACCGCTGGAAGACAGGATGGAGAATTTGGGGGAGGGGCAGCTGGTGACCCCTGAGCAGAAGGAAGGAATCTCTGTTTTAGAGTGTTGGAATAAAATCCAGAACCACTTAACTTTTGAAAACAGCCACCAAACAGATTCTAAGTGAGGAGGTTGGGTGGGAATTAGGAATTTAAGTTTGGCATTCAAATGTAGAGAAGCATTTAATTCACTAAAAATAATAGATCCTTTGGAGTTATTATAAACGGTTGGTCTGGTCCACCATTTTAAACTTTGGGTTAGACAGACTTTTGAGGTTCCTAAAAATGAAAGCTTGACTCTTAAAAAAGAAAAAAGAAAAAGGAAAGAAAAGAAAAAAAAAAGGTTCATTGTTGTTTTGTTTTTCCCCCTCTTTTCTTTCTTTACCTCTCCCTTCTAGAGAAGTAGTTTGCTTTTCATCCTCTCTATCAAATAGTTCCAGGGCTGCTCAAGATTTAGTTCCACTAAAGTTCAAAGCTGAACAAAATTCCATCTTCTATGGGATAGAAACTTTGAAATTGGCTTCTTTACCTGGATCAGAATCCCTGAGCTCAAACCCAACAATTTGTATCCCATTGGGATTAATGATGGGCCCCCAACCCCCCACTCATTTAAAGCCAAATCAAAACCAAACAAAAAGAAAGTGTTTTCATCAGAAAAAAAAGCATCTTTTTAATTCATATAATTTATTAGAAGCTTCTTAGGAACTATATTTAAGCCAAATATCTACATAAGTTACAACAGGAAAAAAAAAAAAAAAAAAGGCTGATGCTGCAAATACCAAACTGCCAAATAATATACACAGGTTTGTCAATGCCCTTTAAAAAGTGGGGCTGGGGCTGGGGCTGGGTTCCTTTTTACAACATAATGTACAGATTACTAAAAACTATGCATTTAGTCCAACTTTTGACAGCATTTTACAGCTACAAGTTCACATCAAACCTAAAACAATTTTCTGAGGCCAGCCTGGACCGAACCTCTAGGGGCCAGAGGGCGCCTGGGAGGGCGCATTTCTTTGTGTCAGTACAAGTGGTAGTTATGCTGAAGAATCTTTCCTCGCTCCAGCTTCTGTCCTCCCTTCTGAAAAAAAAAAAAATCCTGGTATTTACAAGCAAGATCGCTTTGCTGGCAGAGTGCATCCAGAGGAAAGTTTTCTGTCTTTAGAGTCCAGGGCTTTGGTAAGCATAGAGCAGGCTCCAAAATTGTGCCGTGCCTAAGCTTGGAAACCCATTTGAACCACCAGAAAGATGCCCCATATTTGTTCTCTGTCCTTCTCTGTTTAAAGAATCCATAAGGGGTTGAATTTGGAATTTGCTTGGCTGTTTTAATTTTCTTTTTATGTTAAAAAAAATCCACCAGTTTTAGGTAGGAAAGAGAAAGGGAAGGGGGAAGGATGAAGGAAGAAAGAAGAAAACATAGAAGAGGAGGAGAAAGAAGAGGAGAGAGAAGAAGGGGGAGAGGAGGAGGAGGAGGAGGAGGAGGAGGAGGAGGAGGAGGAGGAAGAAGAAGAAGAAGAAGAAGAAGAAGAAGAAGAAGAAGAAGAAGA